TTACTTGTGAGGGTCGCTCGACTTTAGTTTTTCCAATCTCTATCAGAAAAGTTGGTGAAAACATTTACATTCATCAATCTGCTTAAGCTTTTATATTAGTCCCTCCAGGCTTGCCTCCTCCTTCGTACTAAACCCACTTTGTCCACTCCACTTCTACCCTGCATCGAAGTTACTGATCTTACTGTAACAGGATATATGAGAATAACAGATTCATGAAACTAAGGTCCTCAAGTTATGTGCACTAGTTCGTTCGTCGTCCAAAAACGTAAGATCCAATCGAAGAATCAGCCAAGCCAAATATGATATTTGTGCGGGGGCGCGGTGCAATTTCAACATACTCTCTATCAGTCATGAGTGAACGGCATAAGTCAAATGACGACGGTTCTCATTCATCTCATGATTATTCCAGGAAACGAAACGGTGTATTCTGAATTTCCGGTAGCTTCTCTTAGACTCACCAAGCCTAGCCTTACATGGGACCTCAATGATGAATGCATGAATCGACGAGCAAACTGCTGCCATAAGTTTACCTTAGAACATACAGTTATAGAGTATTATTCTACAACATCTAACGTGTAACTCCTCGATGGGAAACATCCAGAAAGAGAATCATCTTGGTCTAAGGTGTGAGTTTTTCATGCACAAATGGGCTTTGAGGAACACATTCATACACCCCGAAAATTAATGAATTCGTTCATCCAAAAATGACACCCGATGAAAAGGCCAGGTGTAAACATTTTTGTGCGTTTCGTGTAACAAAGTCGACTTACTGAAACTTTCGAGGGATTGTTATAAACGCAACAACATACCAGTCCATATAACGTCTTGTACGCATTATGTTCGATGTATACAACCGTATAACTTCAGAAGATCTGGTCTACATAACACTTGTGACGGGCATCATCCCAGCTTGAATAGGCCAGCTGCTGGAATCGCCACTGTCACCATCAAATATATCCCAGTTCCACACATTATAACAGCCCGGTTGTATTCGTCTTCAAATAATTCATAGTTCTGATGGACATCTAACACTGATCTTCATGAATAGGCTAACCAGAGACGCAACAACCATTCTTAATTCGTCTGTGAAGTTAGCGTATATGATTTTACCTCCTGGCGCAGCTACTCGCACCTAGCGAGGTGCGACGCCCAGTCATCCAGAGCTTAATACCCGGGTTTTCGTATTTGCTGTTGAGTATCGTAACCGCCTCTGTTGACAGTGTGAGGAGATTTGGGAATTTCAATGGAGATTTTTCCGAATGGTTAAACTGCTAACCGAGGGGTCGCGGGCTCGAGACTCCATGAAATTTCGCGAGGTGCGCACTGCTGATGATTCTCAACACTGGGGAGGCAGCTGTACACTACTTTTCGGCTTTTCAGGATAGATTGGCTTCAACTATAGAACGAAACAAATATTCTCACATTCACTCTACCTCCGCTGTTTTAAGTCTCGGCCTTTATACATCTGTGGTCTACCCTTATTGGTTTTCTAAAGCCTCAGGTTGATCATTCATTATTTTCCACCAAAAAAGACGATCCCAATCCTCGTATCTCTTTTTCAGTTTTAGTTTAATTGAGTTGAGAATGAATTGGCTTACTCTGATGTAACTCTTTTTGTAGGTCACACAAATGACCCCTGATTCGAGTGTGGCAGACTGTAATTCGGTTCCTAACACGTACGGAATCCCAACTCCACTTCGAGGCAAAACCTCGCGAGTTCTGTGAACGTAAAAATGCAATAATAAATGTTTTCGACTGACAATCAGCTGCGGAACAATTCTAGGTTGACAAGCCGATAAAGCCTGTCTGAGGCGAAATGGAACGCTTGGGAATGTAGTTTGTTTTCTCTGCTGTCCGTTCTCATACATTAGGCTGAAACTACCACATCACATCCACAACAGTTACTATCTGAGCCAATCCATCTACAAAGTGACTAGTCAGAGCGAATGTTCAGCAACTATTTTATATGAACGGCCCCCAAATTTGAAATATTATCTCTATTTTGGAGAGGCTTTATTCTCGCAGACTCATATTTAACGTCCGTTTTACGGATCAGCGATGCTGGCGCAGGTCATATGAGGCACTTAATCGTGTATCCACAAGGAACTAATCAAGCCTTTCTGCTGAGGGTTTTTCATTGACATTTTCATAGTACGTATTATTAAAATGGTTCTAAATGAAGAAAATTCACGAAACTAAGCTATCGATCCAAACACTTATGCAACTAGCAAGGTGAACTTGGACCGTGGGCGGGGCAGTGGAAATTGTCTGTGCTAATGCGTGTGCATACGTGTTTGTGTGTGGGTGTATGGACGGCCTTCGCAGTATCCTAAACTTGTTCACGGTCTGCATCGTAAAAAAACAGTTATGCGTCTTTAATATGGGGAGTAGGAGTAAAAAACGCAAAGTAAGTTCTCTCGAACGGACCACTAAAGCAAAGCGAGTAGTTTCGGTATTAATTTCAGTTGCCCGCCATCTCTGGACGTCGAAGAACCAGGAACGAACGTTTGGTTGACTGGTTTAACAGACTCATCCAACTACTACGACCTAAGAAAAACTGTCGCACACCACCTTTGGGCATGTGTATCTCTTTGGCTCAATTCAAGGTTCCAAAGTAACATTATACTTGTAAGTTTTCAATAAGTAGCATCAAATCAGCGCAAATTCTCAAGGTATATCGGATGCAACTGGAAATACTGTCATCGTGCCGTACAGCTGATCCCAATAGTAACTTAATCAAATGAAACCATAGAGCACCATGCGCAGTGAAATTACAATATCCAATGAATCATCAGAGTTAATGAACTGATAGTATCAACAGTCACCTTGCCAAACTATTGGTTGCTCCTTAGAACACTGAAACTACGCAACATCTACGCTGTAATCCTGTTTGCCGCAATTAAGCGGATGGCAAAGTGAACATACTGAAGCCAAACCGGATAAATAAGTTTTGATGAACCCAACTTACTACGTGGTTCGTGCAGCGTCCGATATCCATCCACGGTGAAGTTGAAACGTCTATTGTTGCGTCTCATGGTAACCACGTGCATCCGTGAGTCACTGAATTCTTGCCCAGACGAACTAATCGGAATATATTCCACCCCGTTGAAACTCACATACAAACGTCCATCATTCTGTTTTGTTAGAAATTTGAAAGGTGTCGTTGTGGTTAGGTGGGAAAAAGCACTGGTGTTGCAACAGTCAGTATTTGTTCTAGGGTTCCACCGTTCGCGTGAAAGACATACTGGAAGAATGTAAATGATCTAACGTGTATCCTAGTACAATCTCTGGCATATCCGGGGAAATGTCAGTGAATTACTTTGCATGCACTGGCCCTAATGAGTTCTAAATTGCTTGCCGGCCCTGCCCCGAAACAAGTGTTTTTCATTCCATTCAACAATTATCTTGAGAGTATACTAACTAACATGTAGAAGGAAAGAGCCGGACCACATGTGAGCCTCTTGGTTCGACTCCGTTGAGATAAGAGAACAGTTTTTAAAAGTTGAACAGTGTTGGGATGCTTTTTACTTTAGACCAAATTTCAAACCCAGTTGAAATTCAGCAGCTTTGTAAACTGGTCACCTTACGCGCAGTCCGTAGTTTCCGAACCTGAAACTGCTCATCAGCTAGCCACTGGACTGCGTCAACCACTGATCCAAGTTTCAGATCCAGTCTTCCTTTGCATGCGGTAGAAACCCTGGATCAAAAATCAGTACCACTGCACATCCGCATCAAATTGAGATAACTGCTTATGGGCCTTATATTTGTTTCAGTTATTGGTCTAAAGTTATTCAGGCTCCGTTGATTTTGGCAGAAAAGCAGGGTAAGCTTACCGCAATGTAGGAAAATTTGTATCCGATTGGCTGAATTATGATGAGCCTGCGCATGAAGAGCACATACGCACACAAATACGAGTGAAATAAATCGCGAGGAGTACAGGTGAGGAGGGTACGGTCTGAGTCTCAGTCATAAAGACCGTTAAGTCTTCTATCTCAAGAAAAGATGCCTAATAGAGTAGCAGCACCAGCCAAAGAGAAAACCTACCAATACAATATCGAAATAGCTTCCATCACCCAAGATCACTCTTGAGATTGGTCCCTCTTGGGCCCAAGTTTGAAAAGCAACACGCATTTCATCTTCCGTTGTACGTTTTGGTGGATTCAGTCTGTAGATGACGTAAGCACCATTGCCACGTTTAGTAGGCATGAAACCACGGCTTTCTAAAAGGGATTGGAATGCAACATGTGATCTGATTTGCGAAGCCCTAGAAAATCATTATTTCAAAATGTAGAACCAAAACGATTGTTTTATCACTATTGACACAGATGACTGGTAAAATTAATCCAAGCTATATGATAGATATTCTACTGCAAAACTCGAAGGAATGATGGGATTGAGTTACTGTCAGGTTGCCCATGCTGAGACCGTTTATACAATAGGAACGCGGCTCGCACCTATTCAATCGATATTTTATATTCAATAAGGCGTCTCACTAAAACCCTCCAATACACCGTACACTATAGACTGGCCTTTGAGTTTTTCCAACCGACTGAAGATGAACCTAATGGGCTACCACATTCAACCGTGATTAGTCGGGGTGTTTGGTACTGTATTGCAGTGGACCCTGCTAGCATATAAAAACAGCCCGCCATCCATCATACATTGGATGGGTGTTTCAAAATCACGCACTAGATCCTAGTGATGATAGGATTTTCGTCAGCAAGTGAGCAGCTGCGAGGCATATGTCCTCTATGCTACGGTGAGGAATAGAATATCGTTTTCGCAGCATTAATTTGCTTAGGTTAGCTCTGGATGGTTGAAGAAAAGTGCAAACGCTAAAAACCATGAACATGAGTGTAATCCATATCCTCAGTAAACAGGTTTGGACACAATGGTGATTTGGGTGACAATAAATCAGACACTTCTTCGGTGACCTCATTTTCACATACTGCGATTCCACACTCGTTTTGAAGCCAAGAGACAGCAAACAACCATTTTTGGTCGTATGAGCGATATCAGACAGTGAACTGACCTTAGATAGACATTGACCATAAATCATTGCGGTCAGTGGCACACAAAATAATTTAGGTTTTGTAGGCTACTTAGAGCGATTATCTTCCATGAAAACAATTTTTGTACCAGAAAAATTACTGCCAGTCGAGGCATACTCACGTCGTTCACAACGAGCTCCATTCCACCCGGAATTGCTGCAGTCACACTTCAACTGATAGTTCTCCGCGTAGCATATTCCCTGGTTCAAACAATAACCTGGCGAACAGATGGGCTGTGGTTTCGGTGGGAATATTTGGAATTCCGGTGTGAGGACGATCGTCACTTCGCCTGTGGGCGTCACCCCCCCGGCCTTTAGGTCATCAATCGGGTATCGACCGTTCCAGTAGACACCTTAAAGAAACGTGCTCGGATAGTCATGACAGAAAAAGGGTTACCACATATAAATATCAAAAATTGTCTAAAAATTAATGTATATACTTACCACCGATAACACCTCGAAAGACATCCGATTTTTTCTCATCAGCAGCAATATGAAGTGCACTATACGTGATACTCTTATCATTCGGATTTACCAAACCTGTAAGATGAAAAGAGGTTCGAAATAATATCAAAGAGATTCAGAATCCATGGATTCTCATCATTAGAACCTATTCATATCAATTAACGGTTTCTCTAATACAGCCCACATCTACCATTTGATCGTACGTCAGTTCCATCCGGTTGAATAAAAATAGAATTAAGACCCCAAAGACACTTCTGAACTCACAAAGTTTTGCATTAAAAGAGTTAATAGAAACTCTCATTTTCAAGGATTTCTACCGATCTGAAATGAGCTGGACGGGCCACAGTAATGCTCGGTCCCACACAACTCCATGGGTGCGAAAAAACGAATACCATACGCAGAATTCCCTACAAAAATTCCACCACTGGACAAGGCTTACCTGGTAAAACAACACGAATTACTTCCGTATCTTGAGTGACGATCATGGTATCACCTCTGCGTTCGATATTGATCACATGATAGTGCCCGTCGTTTGAACGCGTTTGGAGTGCATAGACATTCTTTCCGTCAACATCCAGCATCAAGCGTCCGTCACGCTGTTGTCAAACAGAAGTGAAGTCCTGTTAAATAAACTGCGATAATTGGAAAGGCGGAAGATTTTAGAAACAAAATCTAAGAAACAGCAAGTGGAAATCCCTTCGCGTGAGAAAGTCCGTCTCAATCAATCTAAGATGGCACCGACGAAAGCTAATGCAGCCTTTGACCACAACCTACAAAATGCTCGAGATGCGCTATAATCCACTATCCTTGATTTATCCAAGTTATCTAATCCCCACATCTGCCTCTCACTGAACAAAGGGTTATCATAAATCAAAGATCCTACCTCCTGAGCACATCTGGAGCGTGGATTTCAACAAAGCATCTTAACCTTCCTCCATAGAGTGCGGTCAGTTAAAAGGATAGTCTTGAAAGTTGGTTCGGAACCATACTGTATCTGGGACCGAGCGTGACAACAGCAGTTAGTTAGGCTCAGCAGAAAGCGGCGGTAAATGGTACACTTAAAAATACGTGTGTTTAAGCAACCAAGCATTGCTACGGCAAGTAAGTGCCAACTCAGTGGGTAATTCAGGTTCACTAGCACATTGTGAGTCAAGTGACCAGGCTATTGCAAATGGAATAATGAGCACATAGTTCTTGTCACTGCAGACCTACGAAAACACTTCAGTGACGTATGGACACTTCAAGATGTCTAGCGCAGGTTTAGTCGGTTTTAAAAAATACAACTGTGCACAACGGTAAGAGTGAATTAGTTGATTGAATATGAGATCTCCACAAATCTCTACGAGTCACTCAGGTAGTTTTAGTTTGATTAATGCACTCTGACTTTTAAAATTCCGTGTAATATCTCTGGTAGTAAAGCACGCAAGTGTTTTTAAATATTCTATGTGAATAAAGCAACTCCTTGCAGCCGTTTTGAAAAACTAACTTCGGACTGGAACCGTTCTTCCCTTGTTCCTTCAGAAAGGAGGGAGACGAAAAAAATAATCAGAACAAAAAACAAGCTGACTAGCAGCACCTTGAAGAAAGCGATTTTCTGTTGCAATACAACAAGGAAGTAAGTAATATTCGATGAGCAACGTTGACTAGATTGTTGAGTATGCACTCTGGCCCTGGACTACAATCCGAGAAAGCAGTAGAAACACGTCTCGATGCACAAATGTCCTCATCAGTGACACTGCCACTGGTCGATAATTCAGGACCATTAGGAGAGTGTCAAGTAAAAAATTTCAAAAATCAGCTCCAAAAGATGCTACTGATGCAGATATTCATGACTGTGTCCTTACCTCGAGATAGCCGTGATTACGGCACGAACTTACTGACCGGATGGTTCGCGGTTCCATCTCAACCCAGGCATCTCGACTGATTCTGTCCGGACTTAGGCGATTTAAAGCTTCCTTCGGGTTGTATGAACGCTAAGAACTGGAAAGATCTTACGGCTGAGCAATCATTTACCTGAATGTCCGTTTTGTCATGATGAAGCGGTCTTTAGCGATTATACTCCTATTCGTTACCACGTGGAATCAGATTGGTAGCTTTAAATCGATGCTCATCAGAAAATAACTTCACAAGATCCGCAGTGTTTTATAATATCACGATGTGCATACATATTTGTACTAAATTATCTACTCCAGTGAATATCATGTTAGTTTGCTTCCGTTCTTAGAGTAAAGCTAGCGGATTAAAATCTAACATTGGTATTTGGGGTCTGGAATTAACAGTCCAATTGAAGTGCTTCAAAAAATGGCCAGTGTAGAATGGGTTCCTGAATATGAAGCCACGTTGTTTTGATGTTCGGAAATTTCCGGGTGGCTAACTAATGTTCCCTTGATTCTCCCTTAACTTGGACCTGCCTATACTCCTTTTTAGCCACACATAACTGAAGATGTTCTGTAGTTTCACCACAGAACTACGTTTTCAAGGAACAGTCCCAAGTCATATAGAATGACTCGATCTTACAAAAAGAGGGAGCTTCTTTGTCAACAAATTATACGTTTCTTTTTAACTTTTGGCACCGGGAATCACCCGTGGTACCAGACAGAGCGCAGTGTAGACGTGTGTCTCACGAACTTTTGACTTAGTAGGAATCCGTTTTAAGTTTTCATCGTGGTTGTAATTTTTGTAACTTTAGATTGGGTTTCAAGGAGAAGCTATGATAATTTCCTGGTCACATGTCTATCTTTGTGAAACAGTAAGAATGGAATCAGCCATCGGAGCATATTATTAAACTAAAATCACCAATATGTTTTTCCTGCTTGTTCATGTTGATGTTCACCACAAAGTAGCATTCCCTGACTTCAAAGCACTCAACCATAGCGCCGTCAACCGGAGGCCAAATTTTCCTGGGAATTCACAATAGTGATTTTGATGTAAGAAGACATGCCGACGCTTTGTGGAATTATGCAGTAGGCACTTGCGTCTTAAGTTCCGTGTTAATTCACAAGGCGCTGGTCGATCTGTGTTTGATGTAACATCCAACGTTACTGGACTGAGGTAAGTGTATGAGTGAACAAATCATGTGTTCTATAACCATCCGCGACTTTTGTAACGTTATATTGCCGTTAAAAAAAGTGGAAGACGAGTCGGAGGCATTATACCAATCGCTGTGTTAACTTGTACATGAAGCGGGTGTTTGAACTGCGTCCAGATAGATTTTTGCTCCTCCTTCGGTAATCTGTGAATCAGCTACAAGGAGTTCCGCACAGCTAAATGATTTCGAAAGCTGCGTAATACAGGAAAGACAACAAACGTCGTGTTTGCTTTTTTTAGTGTTTTCCTATGATAAGGATCTTTTGGAAGGAAGATGACTGGCATGAATAGGTGTTTGAAAGTCCCAGGCTAATTCAGTTCGCCTTTCAAAAGATGTGCGAAATTGGTGGACCTGACTACCAGGTTAAGCTAAAGGGCCCTGCTAAATCCTTCGGCTGCTGTTTCTGGTTTCATGCAGTATATTTCCTGATACACGTATGTTGACCATAATGCTGGTAGACATTAAATTGTTAGTAATTCCTGTCACTCGAACAAGCAAACTCCTTCAAAGAGTGGACGATTCCGCCTGTCTTGATCAGATACGCTGTTGCTGGGGACAGTCATAGTTACGACTTTATCGCCTGTCAGTTTGCTGTTCAGGCTGAGTGCCTATCCAATTCAGAAAAAGTGTAGTTCACAGAATTTACAGTGCAATTAGAAACTAGCGAATGGATGAACTGAATGACAAGACTCACCAACTTTACCGCCCAATGCCGTCCATCGGTCGTCATAAAGGTTATTAAGGTTCCGGATTGCATATAGGTACGAAAACCAAGCGTCACGTTATCCTCAACAGTACGAACGTATGGTGATAACGGATAGATGAGGTAACCCTCTTTTTCGTAGGTTATGTAGATTCCGTTTGAACCTGTGAAAATAATATTTCACCTCAGGTAACGCAGGAGTTTTGGTAAAATATAACGGACTCAAACACTCTATGCGGTACAAAAAATCATGTTTGTATCGGTTGTCTTGCCACGAGGAAAACTCGTGGCACAGAGGATGGGATATAGCATGACCGCGTCTTCAAACACACTTGAAGCAGATGTACATCTCGAATTGACAAGGCTAATGTGGTGCATCAAAGGCTACTATTCACTCACTGTTTTGTTCTTCTTTGGCGGGCTTCTGTCAGTACTACATCGGCCAACTTATCGCCCTTAACTTTCCACCCAGTTCGCTATGCACCTCAAAACAATCGGAATCATCGCCTAGGGCTGGATATAAAAAAGGCTGTTATAAAGCATTCAGGACAACAGAACCTTGCTAAGAAAATGGACCGGCGTGGCAACTACGGAGATGTTGATTGTGTTCAGCGGCGTTTTCTCCTGTTTATGGGACCCAAATATGCCAGCTATACTGCAATCTGACAGTGGTTACACTTGGTCGCTCTCTGACTGGTGCCTCATCATCATCATCGTCATCATCGTCGCATTTTTAGCGTTCAAAACTGTAAATTTACGACTGTAAAACTATGATTTATACGAAAGCTACATGGCAAAGAAAAACCTAAAGGTGGGTGGAGAATGGACTTAGTGCTGGCTTAATACAATCGTTAAGAAGGGCCTACACCTCCAGACAATCATTCAGGCAATCTGGATAGAAACTGAACGCCATTGACACAGTTGACAGCCATATCTTGCAGCGTCTCTAAAAAGGCGAAGTGAGGATCACTCGGTGCCCATTCTAGAAGGCAAGTAGCACTGACAGCACGCAAACATTTCGTGATTTCTTTCATACCACTCTGCCAGGTCAAGGGTTGGCCACTTGTCTGCTTCCGTAACTCTGGATTGGGCAGGAAGAACAACACTGTTCGGCAAACGATGGTTCTGTATGCGCAATACATGGCCTAGCCAATGTAGCTTTTGATTCTGGACACAACCGAACAGTTGCCTTTTGATAGCCTCGTTACGGATCAATCGACACTAACCCACGCAATCTATGGTTCTGAGACAACGGTTATCGAATAACCGAATAGGTCTCTGTTCCGCTGCGCGAATAGACCAAGTCTCAGCTATACAACAAAAAAGCCCGCAGTGTAGCCTGAGACTGGCGTCCGGCTTTGAATATTTTTTGTATCAGGTCATTATTTTGATGGTTGAATAATATTTTTACCACTTTTTCACAATATATAAGGAAGAAGAACTCGCTGTCAAACCTAGGTAAACCTAAGTAAATCTAGGTAAACGAAAAGGCACTCACTTCCTTCGCAGTGTTTCCCGGTTCGTGCGGTACGTGAACAGTCACATACGTACTGTTTGTCCGGCAATACAGAACATATGCCACCAAAGAGACAGTAGTTGGGTGGGCAGGCGATTGGTTCGTTGCAAATGATTCCTCGATATCCGGTTCCGGTACAGTCACAGACGTAGTTCCCTTGCTGCACTGAACAACGTCCTCCGTTTTGACAAAATCCGACGGGACAGGTCTGAGGTGTTTCGCAGCGTGACCCAGTGTAGTCCGTCCCAAGACAGTCACACTGAGGGACCCCACGAACCATGGTGCACCGTCCGCCATGGAAACAATAATCCGATGGACAGGTTTTGGGTAGTTCGCACCGATCTCCTTCGTAATTGGGTGGACACGTGCAAATCGGAGTTCGATCAGGACCGGGTCTACAGTATCCACCATTAATGCAGTAGTTTTCGGGACAAACTTCGATTTCGCATCGTGAGCCTCGATAACCTGAATGACAATTACAAGTGGGTTTCCGCTGAACGACAACGCATGTACCCCGTCCACCACAGTAGCCCGTTGGGCAAATGGGGATTTCGCAGCGGGGACCCTGATAATTTGTTAACAGACAATCACAAACCGGTTGACCCAGCTCGTTTACACGACAAGTACCACCGTTCATACAATGGCCATGAGAACATATTGGCGTCTCACAACGACTTCCTCGGTGTTCAGTCCCAGCGCAGTTACACACCGGTTGGTTATTTGCGTCAACTGAACACCTCCCCCCATTCAAGCAGTAGCCATTTGAGCACACTGGTGTCTGACACATACTACCTGTGAAGCCAGTTCCCTCGCAAGCACAAGTCGGTTGTCCTGATGGGTTCAAGTAACACCTTCCACCGTTTTGGCAAAAGCCTGGGCGACAAATTGGATCTGTGCAACGACTACCTCCAAACCCTGTTCCAGCACAGTCACATACAGGTTGATTCTGCGAATTCACTGTGCATCGTCCGCCATTCGCGCAATAGCCGTCTGCACAGATTTTGATGTGACATCGCTCACCCGTATATCCGGTACCTTGACACTCACACCTTGGCTGGTCTCCTGGGCCGTAAACACACCGTCCACCGTTGGCGCAGTAGCCCTGCTGGCAAATTGAAATGTGACACCTTTCTCCAGTATAACCCGTCCCTGTGCAATCACACATTGGTTGTTCGTTTGGTCCAACTACACAACGACCTCGGTTACTACAGTAATCCGAGGTACATATAGGTGTTCTACATTGTGGTCCTCGAAACCCAGTTCCAGTACAAATACATTCGACCACTCCATAGCTATTTACTACACACTTTCCGCCATTATCACATGTGTCTGGTGTGCAGGCTGTTTGCTCACATCGTGGGCCTATGTACCCAGTACCCTGACAGTCACATACGGGACGCTCGTTGGCGTCAACATGGCAACGTCCACGATTGTAGCAGTAGTTTGGCGGACATATTGGATCCTGACAACGGTCACCATAGTATCCCGTGCCTCGACAGTCACAGTAAGGCAATCCACCTCGAATGGAGCAGACACCACCATTGTAACAATATCCTCCAGGAGCTGTACATGGGCTGATTTCGCACCGTTCCCCATGATACCCACTACCCGAGCAGTCACATTTGGGTTGGCCGTTGACGACTGTACAGACACCCCGCTGGTTACAATAATTTGGTGGACAGTTGACGATGGGGGTTTCACATCGGGGACCTTCGTATTGAGTGCCAGTACAGATGCAACGTATTTCGCGTTCGGAAACTTGCTCACAGCGACCGTGGTAACAGTAATCGTTGGTACATCTCTTTTGTTCTGAAAGGTTACAAAGAAATACAAGTGTGAATGAAATAATCCCGACAGTGAGCACGGTAACAACATTTGTTGTTCATGTATCACAAAACTTAGTGATTGCTGCCTTCTGTGACCCCATAAGAAGCTGTTTAACCACGAAATGTCACCTTCGTCCGCATTCTATTTAGCCATTACCCTAGGAACTACTACTCTCACTGACGATGCTCCAATGGTTCGTAAGAATGTGTACTTGAGTAACCTTTGCACTGTCAAATTATCGCTAGACAACTAAGTCTGTCTAAAATTCCTTCATTTATTCGGGCACATTTCAGGGAATCCCAATAGGACAATAAATTCTACCATCCCAGGTAGACAGTATTAGTTGCATTTATTCCACAACCAGGTTTGGTTTCTTCTGGCAAAACTTTTGACTATGAGCATATAGTACAGTGGTAATAAGATAGCCGTGCAGTTCACATGGATAATTTTTTTTAAACAAGCAACATCAACTGCAGGCTCCTATATTGTCATATTATAGTTACCCACATTATCAACCAAATCATCTCGGCTATCGGTACGTACAATTGGTTTAGACTAACATAGAGATTTGACATAGAAGGTACACAAAAGTATGGGTAAGTGCAGAATTTAGAGAAAATCAAAGTCCGAGTGTGCAGTGACTTGTCCAAAATAGGAATGTGATCAATTTATAGTCACCGTCTCCTGGAGAAGCCCTCTGAAGGGAACAGTTGAAGATGGTCGCACCAAGAGATGTTGGTTTGTTCTTGAGTAGTTTTGGGTAGCTGCACGAATGAAATGCATAGGGCATTCAACGATGTTAGACTATAGCCTATTCCATAAACTGTATGTTCACCTTGAATATCGTGTGAACCAGATTGAAAATCGAATGAAAAAAGTTCTTGACCAGTGACTTAAAAATTTTTCGCAAACACGGAATACAGGGATGAGTAAAAAACAAGGCATTTTAACAGATTCGTCCATCCGATATATGGTAGATGGACAAAGAAGCACCCACCAAAAAGACACCGTGAAAAACAGGAAATTCAGTTGCCATCACACGGAATGCTTTATACGGATGCTCACATGTTGCATGCTGTAATCACGTTTGCGGTAGGTCAAGGACTGAAAAGCTGCGCTGTATTCCGAAGATAATGTTCGATATAATAAGCACCGCAGAGAGTCAGGAGCACCACCATTACCACAAGCGTTCTTTTAGAACAAAACACATTTGATCTTCGACAATACCGGACCACGACGGAGAACCGAACATACATCACCGAGGTGGTAACCGGCGATCTACCCACAAGAACAATCGCATGCGGCTACATTTAGGTCAGTTGAGGACTTCTTGGTAATACAACACTCTTAGATGAAGATTCCGCAATCAGGTGTGCTTCCAGTTTCGACCAAACTTGATTAAGTTTCATTTTGTAATGGTGGTGATATGACCTGATAGTACAGTGCTTTCTGCCATAAAAAGGTGATGAAATACGGCCATTCGTTGTTCAATCTTCCACAGAAATGAAACAACACCAAGCAGACCCAGTCTAGTTGTCAAAACAAAAATACACGTTTGTTGTTTATCAGTTGCACATGACAGTGGGCTGCACATTTCCAAGGAAAATTACGCATATGTTGAAGAGTTTGTTTTAATTCACTGGAATATTCAGTGGGGAATTATCTCCCTCAATAGTGCCGACGGCCTTTAACGGAAAGGTCGAAGGTGGCTACTAATTCGAGGATGAAATGCAAGAGTTTTCCCCATTCGCCTGGAAAACTTGCTGAGCTCACTTTTTATATTTTCCTAATTTAACTCGGCTTGCTATTGTATTTTGCTAACAGTTTCAGTCTGCATCTTAGGCATATCTACACTAAAAACTGGGAAGTACTGTTCAAATTTCCATCCATGCTAAAAATTGTCAACTGTGCCCAACTCATGAACCTTCAAAACGAGTTCGAAACTGCGGCCTTCCGGTTAATAGCTGAGCACCATACAATACGTCCAAAAATGGCTGATCACCGATCTGGTTATCTTAAACTTGAGTGGGATGCAGCGCCACCCATCACAACAATCAGGCAGTTCACACTATACGGTCACAGGTTTGTCTGGTTGGGATTTCAAAACCTCGTACTCTCAACGCGCGATAGGTATTCTGCTCAGAAAGGAATGACTCGCAAGTCTCATCCCCGCTTGGTCCGAGAGGTATGAATTCATTACTTGTGAATCGATTACTTTGGTATTTGAAATTCCCTACTTTTCTTCTGCACCTGTTTAACACCCGCTTCACTTTTGTGCTTAGTGCGTGTATATGAACTGGTGTTTTCTCGTCTTTACCACTTCAATCATTTGGCCTTGAGGTTATCCAGTCCCTTGTGACCGACTTGTGACTGTCGAACGTGGGAGCCTGTTTGCTCGTTTGGTTCGTGCTTATGCATTTCAAGTGGACCATTTGTTGTGAACGAGTATCCACGGTGGACGTTTGTATATTTCGTGAATTTATGCATTACATTAGTGGTATCGTACAGAAGCCCAGCTCCGACATTGTTTTGCCTTCCCGGATAATCTGGTATTACACAAAGATATTATTATTATATTAGTGGTACTCAAAGATACTGTTTGCCCGTTACACAGGGCATCTCGTTACTAAGTGATGTGAATTGTCGTTGAAAAGCGGTTGGGTTATATGCAAGTGCGGGTTGATCACACTGCTAATCAGTCTCTTTTAGCCGAATGGCCTATTGTTCAACTGATATTATGAAGTCGCGTGTGTTGGTAATTCCCTATGAAGATGAAGCGGCCGTTTATTGCCACTCAGCACTTATTCATAGAGTGGCTTCGGTTTCAGGGTGAAATTTCGACTGTTAGCCAACATTAGTTGTTTCTACATGAGCCAAACAACACCTGGAATTTTGTCTAGTTAGCGTTCTAGTGAGTGGAAGCGTCCAAACCGTCCACATAACTAATCCTCTTGTCATCTAGCCCCCTCTCGCAGCCGAAAGCAAAACAGGTTGGTAGCAGCGTCGACCTTGGAAGGCAGGCGGGAAAGCAGCGTTATGGCTTACAAATTACTGATTTGGGGAACGATCATTTTACAGTCACCTTTCTTCAGGGGAAGTGACAAGCGATGGGGTAGCCAGAGAAGGTTTGGGAATCGCTCACCTGTTTCCGGTACTTTTTTTCAAAGAGAGGGTGTGCAGTTAGTATAGAGAGACCAAGAAGAACTTACAGTTAATCTGTTCTCCACTGTAGTCAAACCGTGCATGCCACCTACTCACAACCATAAGGCAGGCTTATCAAGTGGGTGGAAAGTAAGAAGGCACAAAAGACAGCTGAAACTTGCGTGTAACAGTTACTCAAGTCAGGATCCGAATAATCTGGCATTTGCTAGCCCATTTCCTATAAAATGCTTGCAAGGGAACCGAGTATTGAGCTATTGTTCGGTAGATTACTGATGACTTAGTCAAAGATTGTGAAACATCCACTTAGAATCCGAACTCCGATCAACCACAGCAAATGTGTTATATTCGTGGCATATTTCAAAGAACAATTGTGTTACCTGCTGTAAAACTCAAGGGAGCGGGAAATTGTTTTATATGAGCAGAGACATGAGACATCATGAGACAACAACCATGTAGATAAACGCCACTTCGGATTACCATGTAATTTATTTTCCTCCATTCTAACAAAAGCGATCCCCCACAAAAAAACGCGTTCGTCATATACCTAAAAAAGTCGCCCACAAAATCAAGTTGTTTTACAACCTAGCGAGCAACTTTGTGGTTAAAGTGAACTTGGAAAAAGACACGTGTTATTCACCTACGATCATATATTTCTCCACCACAGCACCACATCATACCAACCACGCCATAGGCACTGCGGTGGATTCACCATAATTCCAACTAACACGTGTGGGGTTTTATAGCCGAAATCCGGGATTTTAGACCTCACTCTTTGTCTAAGCACCCTTTCTCCACGTTATGCTGTTTCAATTACTGAAAAGATACAACCACGACACTCTTGAATGGGACGGTGGTGTATAAGCCTCAGTTTCGAATTTGCTCCGGTAACCTTTTGACAGTCCATGAAAATTCAAGGCTAAGTATTCTCAAAATATATTTCTAGGAGGTTTCATAAAAACTCACCGTTTTTAGAAGCACGGTGTGACAAACAAGCAAGCGAATTTCTGCAAGCAAAATGGCGTTTTGGTCAGGGACACGCCCCTCGGAGAGATCTAAGACTATGTGCAGGAAAAATAGGATAGATGGGAGACAACTAAATCTCTTATTTATAATATTCTTCAACTGGACGTGCTGCACAAAGGCCACCTCTGTTTCAGTTTGTAAGATATTCCAGATGTTGTAGTGTACTTTCATAAAAGAAACTACTCACAAGGTTGCTGAAAACTCTCTAACAGCCCACACCCGGTTTCGCCCTCCTTGAGGCTCATCAGGTGGGCGCAGTCCTCGAGTTTCCGTCAACCTTCTGTTCTACTTGAACCCGAATTGGACTGATTTCGACGAATATCATAACCAACTGATGCATGAGGCGGCCTTTGTGCGGCACGTCAGTTGAAGGATACCATAAAAGAGAGATTCAGTTGAGTCACCAAATTGATTTGCAAATGAGTGTATTTGTCGAAATTAGTAAAATCTGGGCTCAGGTAGAGCGTAAGTGACGAAAACTCGGGGACTGCACCCATCTGAATACCCCCAAGAAGGGCGAAACCGGTCGCGGGCTGTCGAAGTGTTTTCAGCAACCTTGTTAAAAGTTCCCCTTATGAAAAAGAGGATAGCGTGATAAGAAGCTCCTAAGCAATACGGGATTGATACGCGTATATCTCAGGTTTCGGAGTGGTGGTTGCCTTGTGCTTGTTGACGGCATTTTGATTTAATCGTCAGCAAAGATTTGCACCAGTTTGTACTGGGCCCCCACACTCGACGGTTGACGTGTGAAGGTATACCACATCTTTAGGAAGTTTTCCCTCCCGAGTGGCTGACTGAGATTGTTCAATAGGTGCAGGCTTTTAAACTTCCTTTTCTGTACTCACCGAGTTAAGGTAAGTTAATGGAATGCCCCGGTAGGCTTTTTCGTCCTTCGGGTACATAAACTTCCCCTCCATCCGACATGAGGAATATCAGGAATATCACTTCCTCTGCACTTCCCGAATATCAAGGTTTATTTTGTCCGAGTTCCCCTACTAAAGATATATGTGAAGAGATTGGAGATTCTCTTCGATCGCTATTCGTCGCAGAATACCACCCCCTATCTCAGAAACGGTGAACGCGCGGATGCTAATCATCTCGGAGCGTCTTTTTGTCTCCGTGTGTGACACGTAACGAACACTTTTCGTTCGTTATTAGAACGCCAGTCCAATGTGACTGCGTCGAATATGTCAAGGGATTAAGCTAAAACCTCTCGGTGGACGATGCCAATCATCCATTACGAAGATGAAAATGAAGCGCAAATATCACAAGCAGCAAATTAAATTACCTCGGCAGAAGCCTCGGACTATTTCGGTCGTAGGATATGCAGTTAGCTCGGAATCATGTCGTCGCAACAGGTCACTGGCAAACTTGTCCGAACGCACGCTGAAACCACCAATGCAACCGGTGAACGCTGGCTGTCGTCCGTGCTCCGCGTCTGATGACTGTAGTGACCCAGGTGCATAACTGCGGAGTAAGCTCCAAACCGACTGCCATTCGGTATCAGGCAGCCCGCCGAAGTAAAAGTTCAAAAGTTGGATTCTGTTAACAGGCAATCCGATTCCGATTATCTGTTGAAATGACAATTATGTCGTCGCATTAGCAACAGATAATTAGTAGGTAACGTGCATTTTAGCAATGTTCCTACTACATCCAACTAAAATGTGGTTTGTGAGTAGACAGATAAATCGGGCAATGATGTCCCATTCGTTTACGTTACGTTGTCTGCTTCGGCAGTGATTGGGATGTAGTTGAATCTAAGCTATACCGAAATGCCCCACAAAAGCTGGTTGCTCGCGTTTGTTCCGGTAGGCTCGAAGTGTTTCACAGTTGTTTCTGTCTTTTTCAAATCAATAAAATCAGTATGAAATGCAACATTATTACTTTCCCCATCTTCAGTGTGAAATTATGAATGGTTAGTGGAAGCATGTATTTGCTTCCTTAGTCATGACGGCTGTGGCGCAGTTGCTCTGCAAACTGAGAGCTAATTTCTGTCGCTCACACTTTTTTGAAGTAGGCAAACAATGTACGAGCACCTATTTCATTACCTGTGGTGGGTATGAATCCAAAAATGCAACCAATTCCTTTTTCCGTCGATCCAAGCCAATCACAATACGATGCCAACGACCATCATTGAGATTGTTCGCAGTAGGTCCACTGGTGATCTGGTGCACTCCAGACCTTCCGTGAACATTGTACACTACATGAAGACGGCCGCGCAGAAGGACCAGAGTAATATGCACTTGATCCATCGAACCTGGTTCACGAGCCTTCAGAAGAAGTTTACGGGAATTCATTTAACACGAGGTGAAGTTGGAGCAAAGTACCATTAGCGATGAGCTACTGAGAGATGAAAAGTAGTTCAACCTTGAATGATCACCTCCGTTCAGGATGGCAGACGAAGACAGACAGATGAGAGAGACAGCTAGACGATAAATCTGTACAGCTTATGCACTGTCAACAATAGAAGCTTATAGCCAGTGGAGAAAAACACGTGAAGCACCACAATATAGGTAGACTTAGAGTAAAATCGACTGATTGAAAAGGAAAATGCGTGCGATTTTATCAGGTATAAGAAGGGGTTTTATTGCTAGTAAGTAAAAAAAATCGTGCAAGCAACACAAAAAATCGTCATGTTCTACTCAGCATCAAACTTATCGCACTCAAAGTCAAACTGTATAGATAGTTGGTCGCAAAATAACGACCGAGTTGAAGGTGCGCTCATAGGGCTTGTCTCAAAATGCGTCTTGAATATTTCAAGGATCTCATTGGTAGTCAGTCTATGATGCAGGAGAACTTTGTTTCTTCCATCTTTAAATAGCTAGTCAGTTCTAACCGCGCGGTTGACTATTTGATCCTTACGCGACTAAAACTATTATATTATAAATACTATATCAAATTGTAGTGTCCCAGCGACTGCTGAGGGGACAGCTCTTCCTTATTTTTTTTATCTACCATCCATTATATCCACTTCCCTCCCACCATACTCGGACTGGTGATGTTTACGGTCGATATTCGCAAAATCACCGCCTGCTTCGCGGTCCACGGGGCCCTGTGACTGGATAGTCACAAGTCATTAAGGTTGCACCAATTAATTGATGCTTTGCTGATCTGTGTCACTTTAGTTATGACTGTGGCGCAGTTCAGCACCCAATTAGGCGTAAACTTTGAACTGCGAAATCGCACCCGTCTACCGAATTTCGCCTGCCCATAATAGATTGAACGCCCTAATAGACCATTTCCCTACTCTTCTTTCTCCGTATGACGTTTCGCTTAGTTTGCGCTCTTAGTTACACGTACCGGTTTCCCTTCTCACTCAAGAATGCATAAATGGAATGCTAGCGAAATCCAGCGTTTTCACAGCGCCGTGGATTTTACTCGGACACTTTACCAGGTTTTGAACTCTGTTTGTAAACTTTTTGGAACAGTTTACTTGATACACTATTGGGAAAAGATCTTTTTTCACAATAGCGCCTGAGCTAAAGATTCCGACCATTCTGCTTCGGTATTTTCTTCTTGTTAGTGTGTGAAAGTTGAACTTCTAACGTGACTTTATTTCTGTAGGTAATTCTGTCTGAAAGGGTTTTCACATTTGTGTCTGGTATTACGGTGAAGGGACCATCGCTGTTCAGAAAGTTGCTGGCTTCACATATCCTTACATCGAAGAAACTTACACTAAGCAAGACACCATCGTATTCAGTCTTGAATTCAATCAGCCACATATCACCAGCTTCCCTCATATCGAAAACTTTTGCCAATCGGGTGTAGTTTAATTTGTACGTCAATGTAATTGAGTACGTTGGTTCACGAGGCCATTGTGGAAACGTGGGCAGTTCAGCGCGGGGAGTGAGCATATCCGTGCCATATTTACCGGAACACGAAGCGGTTCCAATAAAGTCATACTCATTCCAGTAGAAATTGCGAAACTCTCCCACAAATCTCGGAGGTGGTGGAAGGAACCTCTGTTCGGATCCAGGGGGAGGCGGTCGAGAATAGTCCGAAGGACCCGCACTACCCAGGTAAATTTGTTGAGCTATCAGTTGAAATGTGTTCAAATGGCTTTGTAGAGGTATTGTTACTAAAAAAGGAAACAGGTCAAAACAGAAATAAGTGGCTGGATGAGTCTACAGTAAAGGGCGACTTAGCTAAAAAATCATTTCAAACTTTGCAATAAAACAAACTAAGGGATTTTGAGACTTGTAAAGCATCTATCTCCAACTCTAAGTAGGTGCTTATGTTACAGATAATCTTTTGGGTTGCATTCAAGGTAGAGCTGTTTAACAAAACTTTCTCATAGCCTGACATGATCAGACATAAAATTATACTCAGCCTAGCAAAACTGCTCTCACCCTACACTCTTACGTGTTAATCCCCAATCTGCCATATCTGTCAGATCAGTGCACAAACTCGCTCCACGAATGAAGTAGATTTGTCTAGATCCTACAGGGATATGCGCGTGTGATCGAACGGTAGAATCGCTGACTAACAACCTATGCTGAAGAGCCGAGGAGCACTGTACAGCTGCTTCCACTTACTTGGAATCAACGGCAGTACGCATCTCAGGAAATTCCAGAGTATTGAAACCGCAACATTCTTGTTAGTAGTTTGAACAACCCACCGGTCGGCCACGGGCGGTTGGCTTATTTGCCATCTAAAATTTTGTTCGTTTTATGGAACTCTTAAAATGATCGTTTTTGCTTTGGAGCATCCGCAGTTGAATTCCCCAAGACTCGGTTTGAAACAGAGCCCTAACTTAACGTCACTCTTGGGGTTTGTGACTTGTAATGTGCCAACTGATAAATGACGCGACACGGTGGTTGATGGGAGTGTCACTAAGGTGAATGGTGAGGAGAATAAACCTCCAGCGAGATATTCATCCAACGATGGAAACAATGGCCGAGTTTTAGTACGCAAGTCAGGGAGTAAGTTACCCCAAATCGTTTATTCTATATCCGGGTGAGGGCAGAAGCAAATGCAGTGAACCATGGAAATTTGTCCTACATGTCGGCAGTTGTTGAGAAACCGCATCGTCGTGTAACATTCATGGTGAGGTATACGTGGAAACTTGATGACGAGTTCGGGAGGCAACTCACTGTAGAGTCGGATTCGTTATACAAGTAACCTCGTTTATTATTATTTGTTACTTGAATCGGACAATGAAGTTAGAACAAAGCTAAGTGGCCTGTGGCAAGCGGCGTCTTACAGTTCCAATTCGATACCGTCAAACACCTAGCTTGTATATTGCACTTGCTACTGTACTGAACGCAGCAGTAAAGAACATTGAAGTATCCTTCACTAGATAGTCACAAAATGAAGCACTCCGCCTACCAGTATCGTCGTGAATGCCGTCTATGGACATGAACATATATTCAGCACGGCGGCGGATTCGTAGAGTATGCCATTTGTTATCGTCCAGGGGTCCACTCGCCAGGGAATATTGCTGTAAGCAATGAGCAGGGTGGGAAAGCAGAGATATGGATATCTAAGGTAATATTTATTGAACAGGATCATAGGAATAATATACGTCTGGTGTCTCATCACCCCAATCATAAACTACGTGCGCGAACCAGGAAATATAAGCGTGCTTTACATGGGTGCTTGAACCGTCCACTTTTAAAATGAGTTTTCATCAGGATTGACGAGATAAGGATTGCGTGTTATCAGAAAAATGAAATAGATCCTAATTACCGATGTGATAACTGCCAAATGCATATCACAACATAACAAATACAGTGTCCTTTTAATGAAGACCCCAGTTTCAGGCTTGTCTGGGATTTCCGCATCTGGATGAGCGTCAAATATGGTCGATTCCCGTATCTCCCTCTAAGAGTCGTGCTAGTTTTCCCCTGAGACTTTTTTGCTACATTAATAAAACTCTTTTGTTCAAAAACAGAATTGTTCAGCTGTAACACTCTGTCGGTACCTAGATGCTGAACCACTTGAAGGAAGCACCAGGGCTGGGATACCTTCAGGTTTCCCAAGCCTAGACAGAATCTTTTACTTAAAGTTTCTGATGTGATTCTCACACACCAAAATTAAAACTTTGTTTTGTCCGGTGGATCGGGTCCATCATGTTTACTTGACGAAACTGAAGTCTACCTTTATTCGATGATGAGAATAATCATCAATCAGGTCGCCACAACAATGCTTACACTAGGGTAAAGGTTGAGAATGTCTAGTTTAGGATATTTACAGTGCATGGAGTAAATCACCAGGATCTCTTATTTTATTATTTATCAGGAACTTGACAAAGAGCAAAGTGGAAACATCTACGACATTTTTACCTAACTGCAGATGCTCTCTATGTTGCATATTTAGTAAGCTTGAAAAATAAGGTTAAAAAGGTTTGGTATAAAAGGTCAACGGTCTTAGAGGTTGGCGGGCTGTTCCTCCATAAAGCATATTGTTACCTGTCACAGTGCAAATCCACGTGGGACCATCCAGTGACTATCTGACTACCAAAACATCCACGTTTTATTCGCGTCCTCCCAAGAGCACACCGAATAAACCAAAATTAGTAGACGTCCACTCCGAAAATTTTGGTATTTCCCACGTCTTTCAAATTTTTCGTGCGTGTCGTTGGCCATAGAAAATAATCTACTCGCATGACTGTACAGGGAAGATTTTTGGTCGCAACGGTCACTCCGCGATTACGTATTTAGCGTGCCTTGGGACTCGCTGCTGACATCAACAGACTGCTGATGTTTCGATAGAGAGGTTGCTGTGATTTGGTGGTATTCGCATTATTTGCAGTGTTGGTGTCACCCGAAATAGAATCGGACGTTCACATCAGAGAGTCGTAAAAATCCGTCACACCTTTGTCCTGGAATTTCACTTCATACAACTACACAGGAAACCAGTGTACTAACAGTTATTTCCAAGGTGGTGCCATTATGAGGGGGAGATTCGGGAAGACTGTTAGAAACAGTCACAAGCGCTTCATCTTTACGAAGCTCCATTTTTCTGATTAACCAGCACCGAAACGTTGTAAACCCAAACTACCCTTGTGAGATGTTCGGGTTTATTTGTCCTGCTTGTCTTTGTGATCCGTTTCTAGTTTACCTTCAGCTATCGTACAACAGACTATATTATCAAATCCGTATCTGCGTTCTGTCTAAACCCAGAAATTTGAAACGAAACCCAAATAAGTACAGTAGCACCCACCTCAAAATTAAATCGATTGTCCACGTGATTGATATTCGTCTGGATGCGGATTCGACCTCCAGAAAGATCCACTCGAAAGTAACTCTTGTCCGCTGGTGAAACGGCGTAGAACAGGGGAGCATTGCTCTGTTGTGTTCTAAACTGGAGGCTGATATCATCGGTATGAGTTGTCATGGTATGAAGCTGGCGGTCGAAATCTATCAGGTAGACCATTTCTCCATCCATTTCCAAGATGGGTGCATCTTTACTCAAGGAAAATATGAAAAAACGATGTAACCTTCGCATTTTTCGTTCAGGCGTATACAAAACTGAATCCGCTTAGCCATTTTCCTATTTATAAATGAGACTGCTGGGAACCTGGAGGCTACGTCTGAATTGTGAGCCTAAAGAATGGCTAAACCGGTGGCGGGCTTTCGGAACGTTTTAACAACGTTAAAGTAGCGCATTGGCAGGTGAAATGAAGCACTTTTTCAAACTATTACGCTAGTTATGCATGTATCATGAAAGGAAGTCTCTAGATGGTGACTGGTCTTCACTCCATTAAAGTAGCGATAATCAAAAAGCAGGGAATTACAAGCTGCTCATAGAAACCACGCTACTGGGACCCATGATTATTTCAATGGAAGTCGCTTTTATTCATTAAGGCAGCCGCTGTCAAGGTCCTTTCAGGGGAGGATCACGTACCTGGAGGAGCCCCAATAGTGTATCCTGCCAGCCGTAATCACACGTAACATTCTCACTGCGGAGATGTCCGCTTCTTTTGTGGTCTCATTAAACGAACCACTGTAAGGGTAACTTTGTTGGTGTTTTCGGACCAATTAAAGAAAATCTAGTCGTTGTAGGCGAGAAAATGGGATACCTCTTGTTCAACGCTCGAGAACTCGCGTGAGTTTGAGGTAACCCTGATGCAAGCGGTACACCAAAGATGAACAGGCTTTGCCCGATTCCGAGGTTTGTCCTTATCAAAGAACAGCACGACTTTTAAACAGACATTCCATACAGGCAAGTTTGAGGTACTGTAGATTTGATGGGCAGAAATTTTATGTAACCAGAACATTTAGGTATGGAGCAGGTAAGGCTATTTCTCTTCGGAGTTTTGTATAAAGGCATCGGAACATACACCGTGAATTTGCTGCGATTCAGTGCGGTTAAAATAAATGGTTCAGGCAACTCGCATGCTAAAGGATAAACATATGAGCTCACCCAATGGACAACGTACCTCGAAAACAAGCTTCGGACCGTCTAATATCCGTTACGCCGTCTCGGAACGTCTTGTCTGAGCCACTGCAATCACAAGCAAAATTTAGAGGCTCAAAATAGGGGTAGGAACGTTCCGCGCATTGTCCTCCTCCACAAATCTCCCGAGTGCATCGCCTGTCTGGTACACGGCAAACTCCGAACTCTATTCCACGGCTGGCATCGGTGTGCTGACTCATTCGGCTACAAAATTGTTGGTTATGAAGGGAACAGATGAAAGTTTAGAGAATACCATCAGGCAACAATTAATAGCCCAGAGGATGGGTAATTTTATAGCAAGAGTGGAACCACCATCTGCGAAGTCGTCACTCGAGGTGCCAGTCCAAGTGATACAGCGAGGTACATCAATACCCCAGCGTATGAATGGGACGAGACGTACCATACAAAGCATTTGGACTTCTGTGGTAAGCACATAAAATTATGATATGGAATTTGTTAAGAGTTGAGCCGTTTCTCCAGAAGCATTCTGGCTTTAAACTCTGTTGATGTTGGGTGTGTAGCGCCCTTCCCTGGAGAGAAAAATGTACTTCTACAAAAAAAAACAAAGACTGATCCTACTTTGTCTCGATCCAGATCACATCAGTTGCCAAAATATCATTTGCTCTTCCGTGGAGCGTTCAACAAACACTGAACTGGGTTAGAATGAAGTGAGTGGCTTCTCTCACCTTCGAATTCTACTCCTACTCAGATCTTATGGACTCCCCAGGAGCGAAAACAGCCCCGGAGTGCACACTTCTCTCATCACCGAGGTAAACGTTACCGACATAAGGCTGGTGAATTCCACTGATAACTGGTCGGGATCATGGTAACAACCAAAGGCTAACCTAGATTCTGAAAATCTCAGCTGGAATCATCTGTCCTTGTCCGAACTCCGATCCTTTCACTAACTAAATGCATAACCGACGCAACCAGAAACCACTAACAGCTTACATCCAAACGTATCTTCTGTTTGGCCGTTGACAACGGTAGGTCATGGCTTGACACGTTATTTACTACAAAGACAGGCAAGTCATCACTTCTGAACTAAATATATTTTGGGAAGCAGATATGTCGGAAGCAAATAAATACACTCAAAGTAGGTTTAATAACCTACATCTGGTTTGTTTTGATATTACTGAAAAAAACAGTGTGCAAATGTTTTGCTGCATAGACCTAGCGTCAGTTGCCTAAAGTACACTGAAACACGCATGCTGGTTTCGTCATTTTTGGTAGATAGCAGGTCTTGCCAAGTTGCTGATTAGGCTACGTTTGCCCATAGTTCCTGCCTGGGCACGCAGTCAAACTTTACCATTAAGGCTGTAGTAGGGACCACGTTTTTCTGATCCTTCCAGTGTTTGTCGTCCTGCTCTCCAAGCCGCCGTAGAATAAGGAACTCAACTCGGCTTATTTGCAACGGATACCGCAACTTGCTGATCCTCATTCAGATTGTGGCTCTGTCCTCACTAACCCACGTTAAAACGTGTCTTGTCTCGCTGTTAGGGTTGTTTTAATGCTTTTTTCGGAAAAAAAGACCCGATGACCGATCCAATGCGCCATCTTATGAAATTCGCTTGCGAATTGGACGAACAAACAGCTACGGCTACTTAGTTTTGTGCGTTCAAACTGAAAAGGGAATAATTTTATTCAGTGGTGACGCATTTCTGGCCAGGAGCCAGGTCA